TCATGTAAGCCAATAGGATTCTTCTTTATAGCAACAACTTCCTCCGGAGAGAAGAAAAGGCGAAGGGCTGTGATATTCCACCTTTGCGGGTTTAGGAGAATCAAGTCAGAGACTTTATTAATAGTGCAATTAGTAGGCCTCTCAGAGATCACTCTACCTTCCAAGAAATTTGGGATCCACACATCATTCCAAATATCAATATTTTTCCATTGCCAATCCGCCAGATTAAACCCTTACTCAATAAATCTCTACCATCTAACAAACTCCTCCAAGCCCAGGATGGCTTGGACCCTAGAGAAGTCTCAAGAAACCTGGACTGGGGGTAATATATTTGTTTTAAGATTCTACCCCACAGGATATTGGAATTTTGAATCAATCTCCATGCTGCATTTGCTAGAAGGGTAAGATTAAAACACTTGATGTTTCGGAAGCCCAAACCACCCTTCATCTTGCTGTTGCACATTCTATTCCATGCCACCCACTTAATTTTCTTTTCATTACTTCTCTGCCCCCAGATAAAATTGGACAGAAGCCCATTTATCTTCCTGCAAATTCCTTTCAGAATCCTGAAATGGCTCATATAATGAATGGCCGATGGGGTAGCAATAGCTTTGACTAGAACTTCTTTCCCAACTTGCGTGAGGGAACCTCCTTTCCAGCCTTGAACTTTTGACTGGGTTCTGTTCACCACCGCATCAAAGATCCTTGATTTGTTTGCCCCAATAGAGCTCGGTAGGCCCAAATATCTTGGTTGGCCCTTGCTTTCCTTGATCCCCAGAATTCTTATGATGATTTTCCTAAATTTGATAAGGGTATTTCGGCTGAAACTCACATCTGACTTGTTCAGGTTAATAAGCTGCCCCGAAACTTTGGAGTATTCTTGTAGGACTTTTTTTAATCTGAAGAGCATTCTGAATATCAGTCTTTAAAAATAAGAGGCAGTCATCAGCGTAAAATAGATGTGAGATACTCACTCCTGATCTCTTGAACTTCAAAGGGTGCAAACTCCCCTTCTGAATTGCATCTTGGATTTGTAGAGAGAGGGCTTGAACAGCCAGAATGAAAATGTATGGGGACAAGGGATCCCCTTGCCTGATTCCGCGAGATGGCTTCGCCTTTCCTCTCTGGGTGCCATTTATCTTGAAGGTAAACTCCACTGAACTTATGCAGCTCTGAACTAGGTCCCGCCAATGAGAATTGAAACCCAATTTATCCAATACTTTAATAATATACTGCTATTTTAATCGATCATAAGCCTTATTAAGATCCTTAAGGATTTAAACTCTGAATTACCGATTAATTAGTATGACAAACAAGAAAATAATTGAGAAATATGTGAATTATAAAGCAAATAATAAGAGACCTACATCCGGGAAAAGAAAGAAAACTTGTTTAAGCATAGATGACTGCTTTGATCTAGTGTGAGAGAACCCTTAATGGCAGCAGTGAAGAAGAAAACCGATCCCAAACAGAATAGGAGCAGATCTTGCCGGAAGACGGTGATGGAGTTCTTCCAATCTCTTCAACTTTCTAATGCTCTCACTCCATGCAGACACTACACCCCAAGAAGCACCCTTTTTGTAGAAGAAAAAATAGAACATGCCCCCCTAGAATTCTGGCGGAAAAATGGAGAGACAGAATTTGAAGAGTCGAATTAAATGGACAGTTTTGGTGGAATCGAAATGGTAGAGCATTTACTGTGGCTGTCGAAATCTCAGCAGCCACACCAAACGACGTCATTTATTGTGGCCATTGAATTTCGCAACCACACCAAACTTCAATTAATGGCCATGTAGAAGGCCTGTGGTTTTTAAGAAAATGATAAGCCTCATGAGCTATTCTTACATTATCCGAAATTATCCCTTTCTTCACAAAAGCACATTGGGAATCATCTACTAGAAAGGGGAGGACTTGTTGAAGCCGGTGCACCAAAAAAATTTCTGTATACCGCATTTGTCAAACTTATCGACATGAACTGATTTATCTCTTGAGGGCAGCGACTCTTTGGAATGAGACAAATGTTCGTGAAGTTATAACTATCCGGGGCTGTTCCTATTCTAAACCAGTCCTGCAAGGTTGTAATAAGGTCAGGCCCAATGATGCTCTAGAATTTTTCAAAGAAGATAGCCGAGAAACCATCCGACCTAGAGTCTTAAAGGCTCCTATAGAGAAAGCTGCTCTCTGAATCTCTTCTGCAGTGAAGGGGGTGCACAGTAGAGAATTCATCTCCTCTGAAAGAATGGGATTAATACACTCAAAAAAATTGTTGTTTATATTTGGATTTTAGAAAGTAAATAAATCATTAAAATAATTAAAAATTAACTCCTGAATTTCAGCTTCACAAGTCACCATCTGACCATCTCTATTTTTAATGCAATGGATACGATTTCTTTGTCTTTGAATGATGGTGGTACGATGATAGAATTTAGAATTTCGGTCACCTTCCTAGAGCCACAGAATCCTTGATTTCTGCTTCCACATTAGCTCTTCTCTCTGCAGCTCAATATCTAAACGATTCCGAAGCTGAGATGTCAGAGGTATTTACTGCCTCATGCTGCGCCATCTCTATCACCATACAAGCTTCAAGCTTGTCATTTTGCTTATCCAAAAAAGAGAAACCTTAGAAAGGGAGAAGTCAGTGTGAGTGGAAGTACTACCTACATACTATGACCGAAAGAGATACATAGAGTTTGAATGGTTGATTAGATGGCTAAAAGGACCGATACGGAGGAAGCCTTAGGCAGAGCATGTGCGGCCACTGGATCTTCTCACTTTACGGTGGTGATGTAGAGAACGGAGAAAACACTGTGGCATTCTCATCCTGCCAGTTCGAGAGTAAGCACCAGAATCACTACGGGTGACTGCCATTTCCGCCATTAGCGCCGAGAGGCTCGAGACAGGATGGCGTGATTGATGCTGTGGATGTTATGGGATTAGCTCCAACTGCTCTCTCTCCCCAAGCACAGATGTGTGCAAGCCCCAATCTCTCTCTATTGCACTCACCTCAGCTCGTCGGAAGCAATTCGTTGCAGCTCTGACCTGCTGCGGTGGCCCCCTCTGCAAACAACCACCGAGTTGCAGCGGTGAGATCGGTGGAGCCGATGGTGACAAAGGTGTAAAAGGAGAGAAAAAAAAGTGAGATGGTGACGGTGCAGCTAACTGCGGAGGTATTAAATTTGAAGGCGATACAGATCTGCCGCTGCAACTCTTGGAGGCGATGGTGATAGAGGTATTAAACTTGAAGCTCTAACCTGCGGCCGTATAACTCGTTGCTGCTACCCATTACCGTAAATCTGGCTAAAAAATATATACAAAAAATCGCTTTTACGATAAAAAAAAAAAAAATGTTGAAGAAGCACTATTTTTCGCCATCTCACTAGCGATCAGAAGTTGCAGCGGCAACTATTCCATGCAGTAACAGTGCTCCTTCTCTGTTTCTGACTTAAGGGCAAAACAGACATTTCATAATTCCGTTATGAAATTAAACAAAATTAGCTAAACCAGAATAGTTTAAGAAAGCAATGGACAAAACCGATTACCAGCCTATTGAAAATGGATCCATAGCTACATAATTCAGGGAATTGCAGAATTGACAAATCTCAATTTCACCTGCCAAGTGCCAAATCTAATTCCATCCTCATCTAAAAATGCAACCAAACTATGTATGAGGGCTCCATTTGTAAGGAATACAAATACAAATATCTACAATGCAAAGGCAGATTTATAAATACAAAATACACGGCCTTGCGTTATACATATTTGTATTTAGGGTTATTTATTAGAACACCCTATATATTTTCAAAGATTTATTTAAACTTGTCTGTACTTTGCATTTTACTAAAACACTCCTTATAGTGTGCAATCAATTTATTTAATCGACCTTTCACTAACAATTATTTATTTTGGCATATGAAAATAGTAATATGATCACTTAAACTGAATGGACCCATGGTTATTTTGGCATATGAAAATGTTCAAGGGCACGGACCCATGATTATTTATTCCAAAAGCACCCCTAAACTGAGTGTAAAATGTTCAAGGGTATGGATTCATGGTTGTTTATTCCGAAAGTAGTTGTAATCCTTTTTTTTTGTATAGAAAGCAAAAATGACAGTGGTTGTCTATGTTTTTCTCTAGGGATAAAAATGAAATTTTTGTTTTTAGTTTCTTTTGATTAAATTTGTTTGAATGGATATTAGGGTTAAAACTGTCATTTTCCACTTTCATCTAATGAAAGATCAGTTAAGTAAATGGATTGCAAACTATACGAGATGTTTTAGTAAAACATAAACCATAGCATAAGTTTTAGTAAGTTCATGAAATTATAAGGGGTGTTTTAGAAAATTATCCTTCTATTTACACTCTTTCCAAATTAATTGGGATCTACTTCTCCTAGAGCATGCCTCATAGTGGCATCCCACTTTGTATTGCTCACCATGAATAATAAATGTAAGTATGGGAGATGTTCCTAATATGCGGCCAGGACATGCTGTGAAGTTGGTGTGAGGTGTGCGGGGAGCAAATCCAACCTCTTACAAACTAAGGTGGTGTTTGGTAGTTGTAAAAAATGTGGATGAGATCGTTTTGGTCCTGTCCACAATAAGATATGGTGTTCTGCTATGTGTGGACGGTCCCCTTCCACAAAATAGCGTGGATAGGGGCGAATTACACCCTAATTACTCTTATTTTATTTGATATTTTAATAATTTTAATTTTTAATTTTTCAATATTTTATCAATAAAATAATAATTTTTAATGTTAATTCCAACACAAGTCCGACAGTTCTCTTTTTCAACTCTTTCTTCATTATTTAAATATTAATTTTTAATATTTTTATCAATAAAATACTATTTAAAATATTATTCTTTTATTTTTTAATATTTAAAATACTATTTTTTAATTATTTAAGAAATGCAATTGTTGTCTACATTGATGCCTTTTTTTCAATTTATTTACCATATAAAATACAAAAATTAGACATTTATGATAGACTTTGTGGATCTCACATAAAATGTACCTCATGTAATCAAAAAGTGTGGTATGAACCAATCCACACTACACCTATAAAACGCCACCACTGGTCCATTCCACACAATCTATCCACGGTTCAGAACAAATATAAATTGAAGTGTGGTATAAATTGGTCCATGCCACTGAATGTGATATATACCAATTCACACCCACCACTATCTAATCCACACTACAAAACACCCTAATAGTGTGAACGGCGGAAGCATGTGAGCATTCACAACCATCCGCCCTCCTCTCCTCTCCTCTCGCAGTTGAGACATCTCTCCTCCCTCTCTCTCCCCATCCGCCCAGCGGCCACTTCACAACCATCACTGACAGCGGGATCAACCTCAGGTATTATTTTCTTTGCATCTCTTCTTCTTCCATGAAGATGAAGTGCTAAAAGATCAGCAGATTTGGGCAACAGTAACAGCCATTATAGATGGCACAGGCTCTGTGGGAGCTGCAATTGGGCCATTGTTGACGGCTACATTTCTGCTAAGAGCTGGAGTGCAGTGTTCACAATGCTGATGGCAGCAGCTCTTGTGGCAGGACTGCTTCTCACTCGGCTAGTCGTGGCCGAGGTAAAATCAAAGATTGAGACTTCAAAGTCTCAAGGGATTCCCTCATCAAGAGCACTGGCAATAGCAGTTGAAGTGCAAATTATTTCGACGAGCGAGAAGGGTATTTGCTATTGCTTGTGGTGTGATTGTCAAGAATGTGTAGCTCTGTTTCAGAGCCTTGGATGATGAGATGGAGGGGTGGAGTGAAATGGAGGAGTTCCTCCTCTGCCCTCTGTGGGAGTAGCAGTCTTCTTCTTAGGACTCATTCATGAACCCAGCAGCAGAGCAATTGGATGTGCTGGCTTCCTCCGCAGATTCATTGAGGTCGAAAGCATGTCGAGGGGCGGACTTATCGCTAGGAATCTCGGACTTCTGTAGGCTGTCCCATATACAATCTATGTGCAACCGCTGGATCCTCTCCCGGATTGGCACCAGACCTCGCAGTGAGGATGCAGCATCGAGGTTTTTGCAGCAAGAGATGTTCACATCAACCAGCGTTTTCTGGAGCATGCCAGCCAAGTTCCCCATTCCCATCTCTGTGATGTTATTACAGTCTTGAACCTCGAATTTGGCCAGTTTTGGGCAGCCACGGGAGATGGCCAGCAAACCAGAGTCGGTGAGATCGCCGGTGTTCTTGATGGACAAAGACTCCAGCCCAAAAAAACGATTAGGGTTAATTTTAATGGAGGCAGAAGAAATGCAAAGAAAATAATACCTGAGGTTGATCCCGCTGCCGGTGATAGTTGTTTATCGCCGGCGGTGATAGTTATGAAATCGCCGTCGAGCGGATGAGGAGAGATGTCTCGTCTGCGAGAGAAAAGGAAAGAAGAGGAGGGTTGGATGGTTGTGAACGCTCGCATATATTCTTCACATACGGAGACGTGTGGTGCATCCTCCGAATGCGCGAATGGTGCCCTGACTAGGTGCCTGCATTTGCTACAAACAAAACGAGCTATAAATCCCAATCACGGACTCACGAGCACATCACTAAATCAGCAACACCTAGATTATCAACATTTAATTAATGTATTCATTATTGGCTTTCATAGCTGTTGTACACAGTTTGGTTATGATCCGGGCCATAAATTGTTTTATAGGAAAATGAAAAAATTAGGCAGATTGGTGAAGCTACTCTGGATTTGTGCATGTGGCCTTTAATGGAGCATGGATTGCATGACCTTTTCTTTGTGCTGGGACAAAAATTCAGGTCCCGCTCTGTTTATGCAACTTACAAAATATGCGACATCCAGGGAATCGAACCCCGATCAGCACCGAGGCTATAACACCACTGCACCAGATAAGCCCTTATTCGGATGCGATGGAATCATCAATCATGGCCATAAAACGATTAAGATCGAAGGGCAGAGACCCATTTGGCAAAATCTAATAAACCTACGCATCCGGGGAATCAAACCCCGGTCAGTACCCTGGGAGGGTACTATGATACCACTACACCAGATGCGCCCTTAATTGGGATGTGATGGAACAGTGGAAAGAAAGATCTCTCTTAGTATAATTTGCCAGTTGGCCTCGCCATAAAACTATTAGGATCGAAAGGCAGAGGCCCATTTGGCAAAATCTAATAAACCTGCGCATCCGGGGAATCGAATCCCGGTCAGTACCGTGGGAGGGTACTATGATACCACTACACCAGATGCGCCCTTAATTGGGATGTGATGGAACAGTGGAAAGAAAGATCTCTCTTAGTATAATTTGCTTGGCCTGGCCATAAAACTATTAGGATGAAAGGCAGAGGCCCATTTGGCAAAATGTAATAAACCTGCGCATCCGGGGAATCGAACCCCGGTCAGTACCGTGGGAGGGTACTATGATACCACTACACCAGATGCGCCCTTAATTGGGATGTCATGGAACAGTGGAAAGAAAGATCTCTCTTAGTATAATTTGCCAGTTGGCCTGGCCATAAAACTATTAGGATCGAAAGGCAGAGACCCATTTGGCAAAATGTAATAAACCTGCGCATCCGGGGAATCGAACCCCGGTCAGTACCGTAGGAGGGTACTATGATACCACTACACTAGATGCGCCCTTAATTGGGACGTGATAGAATTACGAAAGTAAATACCTCTCTATATAATGTGCCGGCCTGGCCATAAAGGAAAAACTTTGGATGTCTACAGGAGATGTTTCCAATGCATGATAGGCATGGTTTAAAGTATCGATCAGACGTATCATATCATATCTTTTAAAAAAGACATGGTCCGAAATGCTTGTCCCCAAGTTTTTTTTTTAATAATAAAAAACATGTTTTAAAATTCCCAAAAAATCAAAATTTGAAAAAAAAACTAAAAACAAAGTGTTTCGGCTGTTTCTAAGTATCGATATGATACAGACGATATGCATATCGTATCGATACTTTGAACGTTGATGATAGGATGTGCGTGTAAGGCGCCTATGAGACACCAGGTGTAAGGAACAAATCCGGTCTCTTTGTAAAAAACAGTTTGGAAGCCTGCATGAATGACATCTCATAATTAGTGTGGGTAAAATAGTATTTACACTCAATACCTTTTTAGTTGAAAAAACAATGATGACTTGAATTAACTAAAGCATCATGTGTAAATGCTCCCAAAACAGCCTAAACTGTTTTTTTCCAAACAACCAAAGTGAATTCAGCCATAAAAACAATTAAGATCGAATTGCAAAGGCCCACATGGCAATATTTAATAAATCTGCACATCCGGGAAATCGAACCCCGACCAATACCATGGCAGGTTACTACTAGACCTGTTCATGGGCCGGGCTGGGCCGGGCTTTTACTCTTCATTAATGGAAAAATATTAGGCCTGAGCCCGAGCCTGGCCCGACCAACGGGCCTACAACTTGGGCCCGAAGCCCGAGCCCAAAGCCCGACCCAATAAAAGAAATTAGAATTTGCAATGGAATTCCCATAGAGGAAAATTACTGCCATTAATTTMTAGTTTAGTGGGTCAGAAGTGAGAATAGCCATTTCAAAAACTAGAAAAGGTACACCTCTAGTTTTTAATCTTGACCTTTTTGCAGTGGAATTTGGCGATACTAACTAACTTTGGTTGTTTTGCCATTTGATTCTCTTTGCGGTTTAGGTCTTTGAGCAGGTCTGTATTTTGACATGTAGGAGTGGATTTGGCAACCCTAGAACGAAACCTTGCTATGCAGCAACTTTCAATTCAAGAGTAATCTGCAGTATACTGGCATTCGAATTCTGTAATTCTCTTTAATGCAACTGACAGACACTGAACAATAGCAGCACTAGACAAGAACATGAATTGGGGTATTGGGGTTTGACTGATTTTAACAATGTGAAAGTCAGCCTTTGGATTTGTTGYAAGTTATGTGCTAAAGTCTGAAATCGTGGTAGTTTAGAAAAGCTACCAAGAAAGAAAAAACTGCATTCAAAACAACACAATAGCATTCAAGCAAGATGATCAAGGCGATTCTGTAACACCAATAGAACAAGCTTAGTTTGTTTACTCTTTTCTACAGCTTCCTCAATTTCTACACATACAAGCAAAACAATAGACATGAAAATTAACTACATCAAATAGAAAGGCCCAAATAATAGAATAAAATGGTAAAGAGGACTCACCGCCGCCATCGGTGATTGTATTCGCCGGAGAGTTCACGGTGAGTTGGTGACTGTGGTCTGTGAGCTGCGAGCCTGACTTGTGATTTTAACAATGATCAGTTCGTGTATGAGAAAGAGAGAGAGAGAGAGAGAGAGAGAGAGAGAGAGAGATCAATGCCGCCACCGGAGTTGTTGCGCCGGTGAACGTTCGTCGTCTCGCCGGTTGTGGCTGCCTGAGAGTGAGGATGAGAACTGTGGAGTGTGGAGGATGTGGAGATTGGAGAAGAAGGGTTCGACTGGAAAAAAGAAGGGAAAGAGGTGAAAAAAAATGGGGTACTTGACTAGGGTTTTTACTTTGGTTTAATTATAGGTCGGGCCGAGCCGGGCTATTTTGGAAAATCCCGAGCCTGGCTTGAATTTATTGCGGGCCGGACTTTTTGGCCCGGGGTTAAGCCCGCGGGCCCATATACCTGTTCAAGCACGTCTGGGGGCCGGGCCAGCCCGTCGAGCCACCCGACCCATGAACAGGTCTAGTTACTACCACTACACCAGATGCACCTTTGACAGCCACACTATCTAATAAGATTTCACGGGCGGGCATTGGCGCATAAGGTGGGGGTAATTGATATTTTGAAATGTTATAGGTCTACAGTGGAAAATAGAATTTTGTAGTGGGCCTGTCCGTACTTTTCCGTCAGATATATAGGTTTTAGAGTATACATACAAAAGGGTTATTATTATTATTATTATTATTATTATTATTATTTTTATTATTATTATTATTATTATTATTGTTGTTGTTGTTGTTGTTGTTATTGTTATTGTNTTATTATTATTGTTGTTGTTGTTGTTGTTGTTATTGTTATTGTTATTGTTATTGTTATTGTTATTATTATTATTATTATTATTATTATTATTATTATTATTATTATTATTATTATTATTATTATTATTATCATACCCGTCCATTGGTGCCAAGTTTTTTATGGTATTGTAAAGTTTCTATGCAATTGCAACGTCAACTTTTTCATCCCTTTAGGCCTCATTTGTGTCTTGGTAAATGTTCGTATCTGTATATGAGCAATTACCGATATTTCTTTATTCCCCAAGTAAAAGTGTATAATGATTATTTTATTCAAAAAACTAATATTATTGAAGGATTAATATTGTCTCATCACATATTAACGATTTTTGACATGTATGGCTAAATAATTTACCCAAGTCTAAAGAAAGTATTACTTCGTCAGGTAAATGAGTCGCTCAAAAATTGTTCTTTTCCATGTGGCATATTAATATTGAAAAATGAACATAGGTTTATTTATGTTCTGTGGAACCTACCAGTTTAGTTGGAGTCCGTTAGTGTGTTCATCTCGTGAATTGACCATTTCGGTCCACGCCACGGGGTGAACTCACTGTTCTGTTGGTTGTGGACGGGACTGGTCCACAATATATTGTGGATCGTCGTCTCCGTCCACAACCCAAAATCTCGGCTGCACTTATATCTCGTGGATGTGGCCAGTCCACAACATTTCCACATTATATTTTGATACAATACATTTCTTCTACATAGTTTTCTTTTTTTTTATTTTTTAATTTTAAAATAATATTTTTTAATATATTTATCAATAAAATAATATTTTTAATGTTAACTCTAACACAAGCCTAATGGTGCTCCTTTTCACTCTTTTTTAATTTATTTAAATATTATTATTTTAAAGTTTTTACCAATAAAATAATATTTTTAAATATTTAATTTATTTTGTTATTAAAAATAATATTTATTGATTAAAATTAATTTATCAATGCCTTTTTTTTAATATATTTATCATATAAAATGCGGAAATTAGACATTTATGATTGACTGTGTAGATCATTCATAAAATGTATATGAGATACATGGAATAAAAAAGTGTGGCACCACACCTACAGAACATCCCTATGGGTGTGGATTAGTCCAATTCACATAGTCTGTCCATAGTTTCAGAACAACTATGGATTGTGGTGTGGTACGTGTGGATTGGTCTCTGCCACAAGGTGTGTTGTGGATTAGTCCACACTTGCCAATTTCTCATCTATACTATAGAACACCCCCGTATCTGCCCCTACTTCCCAAAAAACAAACAAAGCCTTAAGTTCAAATTTCTTCCATTTTCTCTTCACAAATAACCAAGGGAATGCTTGACTGCTTCAATTAGAGGTGTAAAACAGCCTGTGTTGGGTTGGCATGGCATGCCTCCCTCCTTCCCCTGGGATATTTTGGGGGTTGGCTTGGAACAGCCCACAGCCCGAGCCCATGTGGGCCCATTCCGTGCTACGGGCCAGGTTGGTCCACGGGTCGAGCCTTAGGCCTGGTCGGGTTTTGGACAGGGCTAAAGCTATTTATTTAAAAATAATTGAAAAAAATCTTAATTTTTTATTTTATATGAATTTTAATGTATACAAATTGTTTATATATACAATAATTAAATAAAATTGAAAACAATTGTTTATTTTATTAATATATTATATACTTTATATTATTATATAATTATAATTATAATTTATATATTATATATGTGGGTTGTGCCACGGGCCATAGGCAGCACGACCCATGGACCTGAAGCCTCAAGCCTGGCACGACCTATACAAACGTGTCGAGCTGTGACATGGCCTATGACCATTGGGTTGAGCTGGATCGGACCGACTTAAAATTGGGTCGGGCCACACAATTTACATCTCTAGTTTCAACACTGTAGCATACTAGCATTGTGATGCTATATATAGATTGTATTAGCACTGCATAGGCAATTCAGAACTGACTCTGAATCTCCTACCCATGAAAACTCTGCCCACGTCTATCCACAATACATTATCCGTGTGAATTGGAAACACCTCTTCCTGCATAAATACTATGTAAGAGAATAAGATATTCTTCATGTGTAGCTGCGATGGTATATGGGTGAATTTGTGTGGGCAGTAGATCCGGATTCGTTTAAACCAACCATAAAAAAATTACGTTTGTTGACTACTAATTCAGGTGAAATGGGCATAAAACACCTCATAAATCATGTAAAATGTACCAGAAAAAGACAACAAATAGACATTTCCTTCCATGGTTGATATATAATGAGAATTTGCATGGATTCCCCAGAGTACCCCCACATGGGCCCATTGCACACCTCAATCGTGCATTGAGAATATCGATCTAAACCCTAATAAGAAGTGATTTTTTTGTTTTGGAGATGACATAGCACTGGCATGTTGTTCAACATGGCGCATGGAGGGTTTGATTTGGTGATTTTCACACATCTCCATCTCCCTACCTTTCATCACCCTTAAGCCTCATCTTTCACCGTGTGTTAGTGGAAAGGGAGGAAGGAGACAACGATGCAACATCGTGCTACTTCACATGCTGAAAAATAAAATTTGTCTCGTTCTTTCTTTTGTAGCCACCCCAACCTCCTCATACCCTTTTAAAGCTGAATGATCAACAATTTATTTATCTCATTTTGAAAGGGGTTTATTAATTTTTAAGTGAAAGAGCAATGATTTTATACATTATATAATACAAAAGATTATATAATACATATTATAGGTGTTATATTATAATATTTGTATGTGAAATATAAAACGTAACATGGAATATGTATAAAAAATGCATGTAAACACGTATGGGCTCGCCGGCTTGGACCAGGCCTGAAATATTGGGCCCAGGCCAGGTTGAAAATGATCACCCCTACTTTATCCCAACTTAATCTCATTTATGTAGATCTAGCAATTGGGTTGGATGAGTCAGGTTAAGATACACCAGGTTGAATTTCCGGTTGGGTCAGTAAATACTAGATCATAACTTTAAATGTTTGGGTTAGGGTTGACCAATTAGTTAATTTAAGTTATCCCTAAAAATAAAAGAAATTTTATAAAATAAATAAAAATACATGAAAAATGTCAAAATTAAAGAAATTAACCTTAAAAATTTCAAACATAAAATAAAAAAAACTCGAACATTTAATAATTCAAAGAATAAACGATAAAGAGTAAAAACTAAATAGTAAAGATGAAAGTGAGAAAACTTCTATGAATACACAATTAGTCCCAAATAGACCTAATAATTGGGTCAGTGGTTGACCCATGACTCAACCTAACTGATTCAATTTTTTTCCAGATTGAGTTGGATCAGGTCTGATCATTTTCAAATCCAAGTAGCTAAAAATATGAGACCTTAACACTGTTTTTTTCGGATTGGATTAAGTTGAATTTACGGATTGGGTCAACTTTTTGCCAAGTCTACATTTATGTAATAATGTAGGGGGAGGATCACTTCAATTTGCTGCCTTACCTTATTCCTCGGAAACATAAAGATATAAATTTCTTTCAGCCATTCGGTGAGAACTTCATTCTACTCCCTACAAACAGACAAAACACAGTCAAATACGAAGCAAAAGTAATACAAACAAACGGGGCCTTACCAGTTTAAATATTTATAATGCTGCCTCAATTTCAAAAGTTTATTCCTTTTATTTTTCCACTTGGTCCTCCTCCTTCTGATCAAGTGGGGTTAAGGGTGACGGATTTGAATGATCAAACGGCTGGTAATAAATCATTGCCTAGCAAAATAAACAGACGTTGTTATTCACTTATTCCAGTTTCTTTTTGTCTTGTTCTTTGATGGACTTTTAAGCCCAAGCCCATTTATTGTGGGCCGTATCCAGACGAAGAATTTAAGGCTTTTACGCAGGCAGAATCACAGATCATGAAATTAAAGTTAATTAACATTGCTAATTCACCACATGTGAGTCAAAAGAGCGCAGATCATCTAAGCTTCAGTTGGAGAGACTTGGGGTCTTGGAGACTGGAGAGCGACGTTGGGGGAGAGAGAGAGGTAGAGCTCCGACGACCATGGCCTAGGGTTTAAAGCTTCTCACCAATTTCTGCATCTTCGCCATGGCCAGAAATTTTGTTTGCGTTCTTTTGTGCTTCGTTGCTCAACTTCAATTCTCTCTCGCTGGTGAGTTTATTCATGAATTTCTCGGACTTTCCCTTTGATGGAATCCTGCACTATGTCTGTCATTGTTGAAGGTTTCTGAAAGGTGCTTCAATTATATCTAAGCTGATCGGTTTTGGATAACGGCTTCTACTATCGAGATGGTATAATCGACCATCCGGAAGAAAAACATCTGCAAATCGATCCAAAACTAGCTTTTATTTGTTCTCCGATCGCTTAAAGCTTAGTTCAGTTGGTAACCATAAAATCGTTCAAGTCATTTAAGGACTTGTGTTCAAGGGTAGGAATAATCATTTCTCCGTTCATTTGAAAGTTCACCATCAATATGTTACTTTGCACCATATTTTCCAAAGTTAGTCATTGAATTAGTGTAAATGAAATACGAGAGGACGTTAGTTTAAATTTCAAAGTTCTGCTCCTTATATACACTGACCAGATTTTCATTTGGTTTATTAATTTAATTTTTAAGGGTTTTTTTTTTTTCTAGCAAAAAAAAGGTCATATGGTTAATTCTTTCGCTGTTTGTGTACGAGTTGCGTTGATATGGTTCATGTTGTATGTACTACACTAGTGTGTTCACTGTGAATTGTGAATATGGCAAGAATCTTTTGCAAATGAGCTATCGTGGTTGTTCTCTTTCTCTCCCTATTGACGGAACTTCTGCCTATCTCCTCCTCGTGGAGTTCTGTTTGGAAAGTTCAGGCTGCTTGCTATATAAGCTTTTTTTTTTTTTTTTTTTGATTTTTTTAGTGAGATTGATCTGTGATATGCAGTTAGAGTTTCATGTTATTCCACCATCCCAATTCTTGTATCTACTCTGTTGAATTTCTTTATGTATTTCTAAACTTTTTAGTTCTCACCTCACATAACTTCCTTGTCAAGTGACAGATTTTGACCATAGGTAGTGTTTCATCTTGAGTTTTGTGCCAGCGGTACCATGTCTTGCCACCAGCTATTGGTCATAAAAATGCTATCATGCCTGAGTTGCACATTTGGATCTTTGACCAGCTCAATGACATAGGACCTGGATCTCATTCTTCCATTTGTACCAAACTGAGCTTTCTGCACTTTGCATGATTTATATCATCCAAGGAAATAGTCCTACACATCTATATTTAAATGAAATAAACGTAGAAAGAAATTGAAGTCTCATACAAAGCTCTCTCACTAGGAAAAAATGTTATTCTTAGTGAGTTCTTGACCTTAAGACAGCCATGTATGTTGATACATCTCTTTTATTCTCTGCGCTCTAAGCTCAAAGCTCAACCTTCTTTGGTAATCATTAGATCTAGATGAGTTTCTGGTGCAAAGGAGTAAAAATGCATTTAACATATCAGGGAATAATATTGAATCCTTAAATGAAGTTGCCATTAGATCAAGGAAAAAAACGCTATTCCTATGAGTAAAACCAATAATCTGGGGTTGTCTCAAGAGGCTTCTACTGTTTGCATTTGTGTATGGTTTTGGATCTGGCACACATTATCTGGTGTTGAGAGCACTAGGCATTAAACCCAAGAATAGCATATTTGAAATTTGAAGTATTTGTTTATCAATCAATTGTAAAAGGCGACTTATACCTGGAAAAACAAGGTAGTTGAAAGAGCAATGTTATCTGTAGTTGCCTTTTATTTAAATTACATGGTGCATCTTATTTTTCCAAAGGAGAGGTTCCTATTTAGAATACATTTAGATTCATTTTCTCAGATTTCATTTGAACTGGATTGTTGGTTTCCATGTTTTGACTACTTATTTTGGGGATATTTTCAGGACAAGTTGACTCTTTGGAGTCGGTTCCAGATCTTGAGAAGTCAATGTACTTCAATGTTGATGGGTACCCTTGTGTGCGACTTCTTAATCTTTCTGGAGAAATTGGTTGTGCAAGTAAGTGTGCCTTTATGTCAATAGGCATGCTCTTCTGCAAAATTATGTCATCTCATAATATGTAAATGGTTCACAACATTACATTTTCCAGAGAGTCTGGAAATTTTTATTTTTATCAACTTTTGGTTGATTGTTTGTCTTTCCTCTTAAAAATTATTTTCAGATCCTGGTCGTGAAAAGGTTGTTGCTCCTATTATAAGATTCAACAATGTGAATGAGTTGGTTCATTCATCTGCAGTTTTGGTGTCATTGGATGACATGCAAAATTTCTTTACCAGGCATGGATTTCATTCCATTTTCTACTTTGTATTTCATGCTCCACATTCTTATTTTTAATGCAATAATGGAATAATGGATGCGTAAATCTTGTAATGATTTCTGTGGTTTTGTGGCGATTAAAATTTATATCAATACATTCCAGCAAACAGAAAATGACACAATTATCAAATAACATTCAAGCATGTGCTAAGCAAAGCTTCATTTTTTTACTGCAATGCAGAACAATCTCTAAATATTTTCATAAGACTGAAGATCCACATAGGACTTCTAGAGGCTTGCAGTTAACTCACCGAATTTAAATGTGTCTATCTTTCTAAAAATCATCATAAAGTCTCATTATGCCTTTTGAAATGGATATGCCATAGTTGTACAGCTGCTACACTTGCTGAGATTACCAGTCTCTCTACCATTTTTTTTTTGATAAGTAAATGATTTTATTAAAAACTTCAACAATGACATCTTATGGAAAGAGCTTCCCACAGAGAGGCATGAGGGGCAGCCTCAATTACAAAAATAGATTTTAATTGAGCCTAAAATAGATGATTCTTATGCATCCCTTCCTTAGCTAAGCAATCATCTATCCCATTAGCCGATCTCCTTTCCCACTGAATTCATACAGTCATATTTGAGTTAACCATTTAAACCTTTTCACTGTTTCCCTATAGGTCCAATAATAGTGTCTGGATTCTTTAGCCACCTAGTTATCAGCTTTGAGTCCCCTCAATTAGTAATCCATCAATAATTGGCTCTCTAGAAAATTGTGCCCCTTGCAGAACAACTTGAAACTCAGCTTGGATAGAGTCCCCCTCACCTACAGGGCTTGAGAATAGAGCAATTATATGGCCTCCTGCATTACTTAAAACACCTCCTATTTGACCCTGGATTCCTGGGTTACTACCATCAAAGTTGAGCTTAATGAAACCTTCTTCAGGAGGTACCAAAGCTAAGATAGGCCTTATCTTGATTTCTGAACTTTTTGTTACAACTCCCCAGTTCTGCCAAATATCATCAAAGGAGAAGAGGGAAAATAGATCCCATGTTTTAGCCAAATCTATAGCCCTACTTACAATGCAGTCCCAAATATCCTCCTCATTCATTTTTTTATCATTAAAGATTCTATTATTTCTCTTCTCCCATATTGTCCACACATCTTCACAGGATTATATCCCATCTCTTTGGCCATCTGAAGGTTGTAGAGTTGAATAGGCTACTGGTAGTCCAGGGAAAGTTCTACTTGCAACCAAATAGAACAAACAACCTTTCCCATAAGCTTGCAACAACAGGGCAAGAGATTAGCAGATGGTAAGAGCTCTAATACACCAACCCGAGGAAATACTAAGGAAAGGTCTTCTTTTTTGGAGGTTGTCCAACGTGTTTAATTTTCTATGAAAGACTTCCCAACAAAGAGATCCAACCTTGGATGGGATAGGCTTGGACCAAACTTCTTTAAAAGGGAAGGCTAGGGAAGAGGAATCCAAGGACAAGGAAGAGAAAAAAGAAGCACAAGAGAAAAGGACCTTAGGGTGAAGAGTCCAAACTTGACTATTTGGCAAAGAAGGATCCAAAAGAAAAGAGTTAAGAAGTTTTAAAAGCAAGGCAACCTGATCAAACTCATAGTCCCTTCTTGGATCTCTTCTTAAGCCCAAATCCCAACTAACTCCAGTTGAAGGAGAGAGGGAAGCAAAAGTTTTGGATAGGTTCATTCTTGAATAAAGAGAGTACAAAGAGGGAAAGAGGTCTTTGAGAGTGGAGTTACCAACCCAAAGATCTTCCTAGAACAAAACCTTGTCTTCAGTATATGCATCATACCTTGTGAGGCTTAACAACTAGGGGAGAATACCATGTATGGCTTTCCAAAGAGAAGCCAAAGCAGCCCACTGAGAATCCTGAGATACACCAGCATCCCAACCAGTGCTAGCTCGCCCATGGATACTTTTCACCACCTTGTACTAGAGTCTCTCCCTCTTTAGAGGCCATCTCCACAACCACTTACTAGCAAAGCTATATTCTTTTTTCCTAAATTACCTAATCCCAATCCCCCCTGCTCCTTTCTCTTGCATACAATTTCCCATTTAATCAATTAATCCTTCCTTCCTTCCCAGTCTCCCATAAGTAGTCCCTCATTATTTTCTCTACCTTCAACACCTCCCTCTATGGTATCCTAAAGGTTGATTGGTAGTATGCTGGCAGGTTTGTTAGGGTAGATTTTATCAAAGTAATTCTTCCCCCTAAAAAATATAGTTTTTCTTCCATACAGCCAGCCTCTTAGCACAATGTTTTACAATTGAACTCCAAAACCTGCTTGCTTTCCCATGGGTCGTCTCCTAGAGGCATACATAAATATTTCATTGGCTTCTGATGGCTTTTCTCCAGACTTTGGTGGGGTGGTTTTGGATCCCTTAAAGGAAGATAGTAGGTCTTTTCCTTTGAAGCAAATCATAAGTATTGTATCTTCTCTTGTGCCTCCATCAAAGCTTTAGTCCAATCTTCTATTAGCAATGACCAAACCTTCCCTTCTCCTGAGATTTAGGGTAAACCAATTCTCCTAGGATTGGAGCCTTTTGCTGGGAAGCTTTTATGGAAAGTTACAATACTTATGATTTGCTTCAAAGGAAAAGACCTACTTGGTGTTTGTCCCCTAGTTGGTGTATCTTTGTAAGGCCAATGGTGAGAGCTGTTATTACTTATTAATCTCCTGCACTTTTGTTTCTGCTATTTGGCAGTGGTTCTTTTCTTTGTTTGGTTGCAGGTGGACCCCCCCTACACGTGTACAAGGATTGTTTGCTTCTTCCTTTGTTAGGTGGTCAAAGAAGAGGGCAGAGTAATGTGGACATGTGTACGGGCTGTTGTTTGGTGGATGATTTGGGAAGAAAGGAACTCACAAATTTTTATTGAAAATGAAATAAGTAAAGAGGTAATAATTGATGCTGTTTAAAGATATATCTACAGAGGTATTGATTAGAAATTGGAAGTGGCTAATTCAGCTCCAATCCAAATGAAAACCAGCCCCCTTTGGTCTACACTAGCCCTTGGATTTATCAAATTGAACTTTGATGGGAGAAGTGAAGGTAATCCAGGACCTTCTGGTATTGGGGGAACCTTTAGAGATGAGGAAGGGAAAGTTATTGCACTGTATTCCAGTCCCATTGGAGTGGGGGATTCTCTTAGAGCTGAAATCTTGGCAGTATTGGAAGGGATAAGGAAGGCTAAGGAATTGAATCTACAATAGTTTATTGTTGGAAGAGACTCTAAGGTGGTTATAGAATGGTTGCCAACTCATTTGCTGATGCACTTGCTAAGCAAGGGGTGGGAAGGGAATACATGTTCAGGGCAGTTTTGTAAACTGTTTTTTGTCCCTTGGGGAGGGTTAAGAGAGTTTACCTCTCCCCATAGCTTTCTGTTGTACCTTGCTTAATCCTTTTTTTTTTTTTTTATCATAACAGAGTACCTTGCTTAATCTTCTTTAATAAAATGCTTTGTTATTGATGAAAAAATAAAATAATTCATTGGCCAATCTAAAGTAGGGGAACCTAATGAAACCACAACCATCAACGATTCCTCATTTAAGTTTTTTCGAGCCACATCACTTCTCAAAGCTAATTTTCAATTTCAAGAGAGATTTAAACAATTTCACTACCTGTTTTAGATTCCTAGCCTTATGGGGATTCCCACCCTCACAAAAATGATTGTATCATCTACAAACTGTAGATGTGTTATTGTTATGCCATGCCTTCCAATACTCACCCTCTAAAGATGTCCATCCTATTTGCTCTTGTTAACATCCTACTGAACGCATCCGTTACCAAGGTAAATAAGAAAGGTAAGAGGGGGTCCCCTTGTCTTAGTCCTTTGCTAGTTGGGAAGAAATCCTTAACCATGCCATTTATAAAAACCGAGTGATGACATGTCTTCATGTAACTCCAATCCAACCACAACACCCTCTCTACCTTTCCCAATTTTCTACCCTAATCCATATGGCATATGCCAAAGTGGTCTTGTTAATGAATTTCCTTTTTCTAGTATGTGTTTTGCATTCTTGCATGTGTTGAAAATTGATCAGTTTTATACTGTTTTTCTGAGTAGATGTTTTATGTTAGTTGTTAGATAGGAGGTGGGGACCATAGTAGTTATGTGAGTCCAAATTATATTATGTTTTTGAGTCTTATATATGTTGTTTTATGTTTTGCCGCCCTATAAGGGCATAGTTGTCTTTGTACTGCTCTATTATTTTTAGTATAAATAATAAGTGAAGGGGGCAGCCAGATTATTGCTCTCTTTTCTTTTCAAGATCTCTTCTCTTCTTCTCTTCTTCTCCTTCTCTCTTCCTTCTCTCTTCAAGAAACTACCTTTTCTATTCTTATTTTTGAATTCAACAGATTTCTACTTGGTATCAGAGCATCGGTTAGGGTTTCTTGAAGCATTCTCATGCAGCCCTAGATCGATCGACTGCATGAAGTAATAAAGGGCTGTTCGATCTGCTATAGATTGCCAAGCTCTTGGATTTTTTGGAGGGATCTAGTCATCAGGAAGGTGATCTACTGTTTGACATCAAAATTAGGAGGAACTGGAGTACAGGGAAGAGTCCCAGAAAAGTTGGACTCTTTGTTTTTGATCTGATCTTGGGTGCCCAGGTATTGTTAGTTTTCTTTTGATTTTTTGAAGAGGGCGGTTAAGTTTCTAGAATTTTCTGAGCCTCCTGGAGTGATCGATTCACTCTTCTTTCTGTTGGGAGGCGTGGGGAGGAGAGTGATTTCTCTCCGGATAGGGTTTTCTTCTTCTAGAAGGATTAGTTTTTGTGTGTGATATTAAATTGTTTTTGGAAGGTCTCCAATCTATTTTTTATTACTATTGAACTGTTTGAAGTAAGATGGAGAGTTGGAATACCAAGATAAAATCCATCGGTACTGTGGGACTGGGTGTTGGAGGTAGTAGTGATATTTTTGGGTCTGGGATCATTACTACAGTAAAACTTGATGGTACAAATTATTTGGAGTGGGTACAATCAGCTAAGATGGTTATTGGTGCCCGTGAAAAATTAGGGTACATCACTGGGGAGGAGAAGAAACCTGATACAGACTCTTCCTGATGGGTGCAGGAGAACTACATGGTAATGTCCTGGTTGTGTAATTCTATGTTACCTCATATTGCAAAAAATTTCCTATGGGCTAATATTGTTAAGGAGATTTGGGATGGAGTGACTGAAACCTACTCTCAGAAGCAAAATGAAGCCAGAGCCTATTAGTTAAGGAATCAGGCGATGAGTATGAAACAAGGACAAAACCCCCTTGTTGTGTATTTCTTTGTGCTAACAACCCTTTGGCAAGAAATAGATCACTTAGAAACTATGGTATGGGAAAGTGTAAATGATGCAGCAACCTATCACAGACTAGTAGAGAGGAATAGGGTTTTTGAGTTCTTAGCAGGGCTGAACCCTGAATTTGACATTGCTAGGCAACATATTCTTTCTAGGGGGGGTGTGACACTCTCTCAAGCCTATGCCTTTGTCTCTGGAGAGGAGAGTAGGAGGAATGTAATGCTGAGACAACCTGGGATTAACCAGTCGGCTATGGTTAGTACAACCAAACCTAAGCCGAATGGAGACAGGGGGAGTAGTGAGACTAAAAGGGAAGACAAGAAGGACTTGGTGTGTGATTATTGTAAGAAGCCTAAGCATACCAAGGACACTTGTTGGAAGTTTCATCCAAATCTTATGCCTGCCCGGATAAGGAATAAGGGAAATGCAAACGTGGCCACTACAGGAGACTTTTCGGCCCCTCTTTCCCAAACTGATTGGGAATCCATTGCAGTAGCAGCAGTGAGAACAAAATTGGAGAGGTTTGGACAGCTTATGAGTAAGAAAGATTCACCTTGCTCTGGCCTCCAGATGGACAACAAAATGTAGGAGCCAACTACACCACTTCTTTTGCACATACAGGTAGTTCATATGCAATTGCAAATCTTGCATCCACTTTAGGTAAGGAGGGATCTCCCTGGATTACAGACTTAGGAGCATCTGAGCACATGACTAATGCCCCTACCCTTTTCAGTTCCTATTAGTTGTGCTCTGGTAGAGACAAAGTCTCTACAACAGATGGTTCACATATTCCCATTGCTGAGAAAAGGGATAGTTAGAGTGACAAATGATATAACTTTATCCTCTGTTTTACATGTCGCTAGACTTCATACCAACCTACTATCTATTAGCTCTTTGACAAAAAATTTGAATTGTTCCGTGACTTTTCTTCCTAGTAATTGTGTTTTGCAGGATCTAGAGTCAAAGAAGACGACTGGGAGTGGTCGTGAAGTGAATGGAGTCTACCTTTTGGATGAGATTCCGAGACACCGGGGCCACCATGTTAGCAACAGCAGTAGTAGTGGGTCAAAGTCAATGAACCAGATTATGCTTTGGTATAATTGCTTTGACATCTTTCTTTTAGTTCTTTGAAATTTCTTTTCCCAAAGTTGTTTGAGTCTATTCAGTTATCTACTTTGGAGTGTGAGTTGTCAGTTAGGAAAGCATTGTAGACAGTCTTTTAAACCAAGTAATAAAAGAAGTACTTTTGCTTTTAATATTGTTCACACTGATGTATGGGGGCCATATCATATTCCTTCCATGGGATGATACTGTTACTTTCTTTTGTTTGTGGATGATTATACACGATATTCTTGGATATATTTGATAAGATCACGAGATGAGGTTCTTAACTTGGTACGACAGTTCCACCAGATGGTTCTCACACAATTTGGACTGAAAGCTAAGGCTTTTAGATCAGATAATGCCAGAGAGTACTTTGAGAAGGACTTGACCACGTATTTCTTAGAATATGGTGTAATTCATCGGAGCAGTTGTGCATATACACCACAACAGAATGGAGTAGCTGAGAGGAAAAACAGACACATTATGGATGTGGCAAGGAGTCTTATGGTGTGTGCTTCAGTTTCTGTGCATTTCTGGGGAGATGTAGTCCTTACAGCCGTGCATTTGATTAACCGTGTTCCTTCACGGATTTTGGGTTTTAAGGTGCCATTCAGTCTTCTTTTTCCAGATGGGGAGATATTTCACATACCTCTGAGGGTTTTTGGTTGTGTTTCCTTTGTTCACATTCTTTGCCCCCACTGCAAGAAATTGGATCATAAGGCCAAGAAGTGTGTTTTTCTTGCGTATGCTCAGAACCAAAAGGGGTATTGCTATTATGACCCAATGTTAAGGAGCAGATTTGTCACTATGGATGTTACCCTTTTTGAATCCACCTTTTTCTCGAGTGGTTCTCCTCAGGGGGAGAGTTTTAGGGAGGAGAACTTACAATCTGTTCCTCTTCATGTTTCTTTAGTGCCTCCATCAGTTCCATCATCGGTTCAGCTAGCACCTCCATCATCAGTTCAACCAGCACCTCCATCAGTTTCATTACCTGAGCCACTACGGGCAGCCTCACAGAAATATCAGCGCCGACAGACGATGGTTGACTCCACACATCTTCAACCCATACCACTCTCTATCAGTCCTTCTGAAACTCCAGATTCAGCAGATACAATTCCAGGTATTCCTCTTGAGCCTGAGCCTGTTATGTTTTCTAATGTACCTAACACCATTGTTGCAGCTGATCCCATTGAGCTTGATCTTCCCATTGCACTTTGTAAAGGGAAGAGAAAGTGTACAACCCATTGCATTTCACACCATCTTTCCTACAATGCCTTATCACCCTCCTACCGTGCTTTCCTTTCTTCCCTGGATCCTGTCTCTATACCCAGGAATGTTATTGAGGCTCTCTCCAAACCTGAGTGGAAAACAACCATGCAAGAAGAGATGGAAGCCTTGGTTAAAAACCAAACTTGGGAAATAATTGATCTTCCCCTATACAAGGAGACAATTGGATGTAGATGGGTATTCACAATGAAGTATAGGGCCGATGGCAAGATAGAGAGGTACAAGGCAAGGTTGGTAGCAAAAGGGTATACTCAGACCTATGATGTTGATTATCTGGAAACCTTTGCACCGGTAGCTAAGATGAGTTCAGTTCGTATTCTTTTATCTCTAGCTGCCACCTATTCATGGCCTTTGTTTTAGCTTGATGTTAAAAATGTTTTCCTCAATGGTGATTTACAGGAGGAGGTATATATGGACATTTCAACAGGCTTTTATGAAAATGTTGGTAAAGGAAAGGTATGCAAACTCAGAAAGTATCTATATGGACTGAAACAATCACCTAGGGCTTGGTTTGATAGGTTCAGAGGGGCACTTATTCATTTTGGATACACACAAACCCAGTCTGATCACACCCTCTTTGTAAAGAGGAGAGAGATGCTCTGGTGTCAATTCTGATTGTGTATGGATGATATGGTGGTTACAGGAAATGATCTGGAGGAGATTGATGATCTCAAAAAATCATGGTAGCAAGAATTTGAGATCAAAGATCTTGGTGAGCTTAAATACTTCTTGGGGATTGAAGTTGCAAAATCCAAGTATGGGATCTTCATCTCATAGAGAAAGTATGTACTTGGACCTACTACGGGAGACTAGGAAGATGGGGACCAAACCAACAAACATTCATATTGATCCAAATCACATAATTAATGGTGGATGGTGAGTTGGTGAAAGATGTGGGGAGATATCAAACAATGGTGGGCCGACTGCTATATTTGTGCATGACACGACCAGATATTTCTTATGTTGTCATTGTTGTGAGTCAGTACAGCATGCACCTCGGGTTCAACACTAAGAAGCTATTAGAGAATACTTGCATATCTGAAAAAGCACCCTGACAGAGGCATGACAATCTGAAGCTAGAATCCTATACAGATGTAGACTGGGCAAGATGCTTAGATGACAGGAGGTCTACATCAGGAGTGTATACCTTTGTAGGTGGAAACTTGATCTCCTGGAAGAGTAAGAAGCAAGCGGTTGTGGCGAGGTCAAGTGAGTATAGATCCATGGCTCATGGTGTCTTAGAACTTCTTTGGGTTAGATATCTTTTGAGTGAGATTGGGGTGAAAGCAGAGTAGCCTATGATGCTGTACTGTGACGATCAGGCTGCAATCAATATTGCCCATAATCCAATTCTGCATGACAGGACAAAACACATTAAAGTTGATAGACACTTTATAAGAGAAAAGGTAACAGCCAGAGAAGTTTGTTTGCCTTATGTCTCTTCAGAGTTGCAGCTGACTGATGTTCTCACTAAAGGGGTGGCAAAGAACAAGCTTGAACATTATCTACGCAAGTTGGGAATGTGTGACATTTACTCCCAACTTGAGGGGGAGTGTTGAAGATTAATCAGTTTTATGATGTTTTTTATGAGTAGATGTTTTATGTTAGTTGTTAGATAGGAGGTGGGGACCACAGTAGTTATGTGAGTCCAAATTTTTTTATGTTTTTTAGTCTTATATATGCTGTTTAATGTTTTGCTGCCCTATAAGGGCATAGTTGTCTTTGTACTGCTCTATTATTTTTAGTATAAATAATAAGTGAAGGGGGCGGCCAGATTATTGTTCTTTTCTTTTCAAGATCTCTTCTTATCCTTCTCTCTTCCTTCTCTCTTCAAGAAACTACCTTTTCTATTCATATTTTTGAATTCAGCAGATTTCTACTACATGCATACTTGCAAATGGATTCCAGTTGTATGGTTATGTCATGATGCATGATGTTGGATATACATTTCACTGGATTGACAAAATGACATAATCGTTCTTATTGGTGACTGAAGAAGATAGCATTTACTCTTTCAGGGTATCAAATGACCAAAACTTTGCTAAGAGAGTAGGAGGTGTTCTGATTGAATCAGGAACTGGAATGCAAAATAAGCCAAAAGGTAATCAGTGTAACTTTCTACTTATCATCTGTATCAATTGGAGAAGTAATTCTACAGTAAACTTTGTTAACACTGCAAATTTTGTCTCCCTTGTAGGATTCTCACCAGTGGACAAATTTCCACAAGCTGAATTTTCTCCTTACCAGAGCCTCAATTATGAGTGGAATCCTGCTGTAAGTTATTAATCAGTTTAATCTTTGATGAGAGTCTTATATAAATGGCTAAACCATATGGTGTGCTTCTTATGATAATCTATACTTGCACTTTTGATCCATATTATTGGAGTGATGAACTTATTTGCTTAAATGGACCATTTCCCAAAAGTAACAGCATTTGAATTATCTTAACAATTCAAATTAAGTGCTCTGTTTTGAATGGTATAAATGAGGAAAGCATTGATTGGTAATTGGATTATTAAGAGCAACTGTAAATATGTTTTGGGCTATGGATTATCCAAAAGGGTTGTAGTTGACCCATGATTAGCCATACAATAGAAGCAATTATGCATAAAGGTGTTTTTTTTTTGAATGGGAGTATCAGATTTTTGTGAAACTAGTCATATCCCCCTCCTTGTGCCAAATCCTGATGAATCAGCCACATTCTGATAGATAAGTGAAAGTGTCATAACGTGTTCATCTTTGCAGGGATTTGGTATTTTGCGGAACAGCTACAACTTTCCTGTATTCTTGCTCTCCCCAGAGAGTACACTACTTCTGCAGGAGGTATAATGTCTTTTGAAGTTTTTTAATTCTTAAGATATATTTTGTTATCTTGTTTTCATGATCCTGCAATTAATTTTCCAACGTGGTAATATTCTGATTAATTCTATAATTGGAGAGCTGCTTGTTTTCAAAATGTATTTCTAGTAAATGAAGTTTGCATTCTTATTTTTGATTCAACTTTATGTTGTCGATTTGTCTTCTAGATGAATTATGTTGTAGACTTGTTTTATAAATATAATGCTATGCTAGCTGTCCTATATGCAGATTGTCAATAAAAAGGAGAAGAATAATAAAGCACACACAACAGATGTGGCTGAATTTGATTTGGTGATGCAGGTAGAGAAGGTTCTTCTAAGTCCTTTTTAGATACCTTCAAAATGTTTAATGATCATTTCCTGAAACTATGTTCACAAGTTCATGTTAATAATCTTTGATACACCTGACCTTGATTAGACGACAAAAGCTGGAACTCATGATTCAGAATCTTGTCTGAAAGAACAGTCTTGTTTGCCCTTAGGTGGATACAGGTGAGTTTTTTGGTTTTTCTGTTTTTGCATTATTTTGTTTGTACCTACAGATTTTGATTTTTGACCTTTAAATGTTGAGAACCAGTAAATTATTTTGAGATGCTAAGCTCTGGTTTCTCTTGATTTTTCTTTTTGCTCTTTTTACCAAGGTGCAAAGCAAACTTGACTGGCAAAGTGGCAAGGAATTACCTTATAATGCATAATTTTACTATGAATTGAGGATGTTTTATTTTGCCTAATCAGATGCAGCTTAACCTACCCTTATTGGGGCAGGGTGATCGTGAATATGAGAAAGTAAATTACTTTAATATTTCTTTCTATTTTATATATACATTTTTTTAGTTTTATTTTTAACAAGTTAAAGTACTGTTATTAATTGCCAAAAATCTGATATCACATACAAGTATGAACCTTGTACTTAGAAATGCTATACAATGAATGCCTCCGCAAAGTTGCATAGAACAAAAGATTTGTGTAGCTTTCATATTATTTATTATTTTTATTACAAACAAATACTTGTGATCAAAGTATGCTGACTATCATAAGCCGAGAAGGTTTTAAAAGCACAAGGCACAAAAAAAGCGCAAAGGCCTTTTTGTGTTTGAAGCACAAGGTGCAAAATAAAAAAAATTCAAAATGAATTAATAAAATATTAAAAATAGTATTAATTAAAAAATCAAACTTCAATTTTAAGCTAAATGTTTTAAAAAAGCCTATTAGCTCAAATTAAATACATAAACATAACATATAAAACACATTCAAAGTGAAAAAATGCAAAATAAAATAAAAAATATCATACAAAACATATTCATGCATGTCAAACCTTTAATTTCTTTATTTCTTTCTCAATTTCATTATTTCAAATAGTTAATATGATGTTACATATTTTATTCCTAATTCTATAAGTTGCCTTTGTACCAAGCCCCTTGAGGCAAGCCCAAAGAAATTCATGTTAGGGTCTAAAAATTCTTAATCCCTAAAAAAAGAATTTTATACTTTTAATTATCTTTTATTAGGGTGATTTTTTTTTAATTGAAAAAAGGTTATCTTTTATTAGGGTGAATGAATGAACATCATTTGCAAATAGGTGGTTTTTGGAGTGGAGTAGAACCCCTATTTGCTAATGTTGTTCATTCATTGATTCATTCATCATTCATCATTTATCATTCATTGTCTCAAGGAGCTTGGTTTGGGGCCTTGGGGGTCTAGAGACAGAGCCCCTGGCCCAACCACCATCATAGTTTTCAAGGCGCCTAGGCAACCATAGGGGGGTCAGTGGAGAATCTTTTTGGGGTTGTGACTACTATGAAGCTAGATGAGACCAATTATTTAACTTGGTCTCAATCTATTAAGATACATGTGTGTAGTAGAGGAAAATGGGGTTATATTACCAGGAGCAAGAAGAAACCGGAGGAGGATGATCCTACCTATGAAAGGTGGATGTAGGAAAACTACACAGTAGTGGGTTGGTTATTGAATTCTATGCAACCACACATTAGTCAACATTATCTGTGGATGGAAACTGCAAAAGAAGTGTGGGATAGTGTCACAGTGACCTATTCCCAAAAGCTTAATGTTGCTCGGGCCTACAAATTGAAGCATGATGTGAATAATCTTAGACAGGGGGATAAGCCCTTAGTAGTCTACTTCTCTTTGGAGAGAGATTGATTTGATGGAGACTGTTGTTTGGGATTGCACAAAAGATGCAAAAACATATAGGGGTTTGGTGGAGAGAAATCGGGTCTTTTGAGTTTCTCGCCGGACTCAACTTGGAGTATGATATTGTGAGGCAGAATGTTTTAGCAAAGGATGAGGTGACTTTGTCTTAGGCATATGCTAATGGTGAGCAGTGAGGAGAGTATAGGACATGTTCAGTCTGTTGAGCCGCAGGTTGATCACTATGCTAATGTGGGGATGAAGCCAAAGGTTAGCACTGGGAAGAAAGATGTTATCTGTGAATACTGCAAGAAGCCTAAACACACTAAAGACACATGTTGGAAACTACATCCAGAGTTTGGGTTCAGTCTGTTGAGCCGCAGGTTGATCACTATGCTAATGTGGGGGTGAAACCAAAGGTTAGCATTGGGAAGAAAGATGTTATTTGTGAATATTGCAGGAAGCCTAAACACACTAAAGACACATGTTGGAAGCTACATCCAGAGTTTGTTCCTACCAGATTCAAGAAAGAAAATGGTGGAAAAAGGGTTGAAACTGGAAAAGGTGGAAATGCAAATGTAGCCACCTCTTCACAAGGTGAACAAGGACAGGGTGGAGAGAAGTTAGTGGGAGAACAACTTGTAGCTGCTGGGGCTGAATATGAGAAGTATGGCTGAATCATCAGTCACTTGGAATCCACTGCTATAGCTCCTTTAGAGACTGTTCCTTCCTCTACATATGCTCACTCAGGTATTCGTGCCACTACATATGCTCCTTCAGAGACTGTTCCTTCCTCTTGGATAATTGATTCTGGTGCTTCTGACCATATGACCAGTGTTTCATAGTTATTCACCTCTTACCAATTTATCACGGGAAAGGGAGACATTAAGACCTCTAATGCCTTGACCTTATCATCTGTTCTTCATGTACTTAAACATAATACCAATTTGCTTTCAGTTAGTAATTTGACTAAATCCCTGAATTGTAGTGTGACCTTTTTTCCTTCATATTTTGTTGTTCAAGACATGGAATCTCAGAAGGTGATTGGGAGTGGCCATGAGGCGAATGGGATCCATCTGTTAGACATGCCTGAGCAGAGCCAAGTACAACCTAAGAGAACTGCATTTGTTTCAGAGTCCACTAGTCGTATTATGTTATGTCATAATCGTTTGGGTCATTTATCATTTTCGAGTTATTTAAAGGAATTAGTCTATCGAGTTTTCATTGCGAGTCTTGTGAGTTCTCAAAGCATTGTAAGAGCACTTATCCTTCAAGCAATAAAAGCAATTATTCCTTTTTAATATTGTTCACTCTGATGTGTGGGGGCCTTACCATTTACTATGTATGGGTGGGTATAAATATTTCATCTTGTTTATTGATATTTTTCACAATATACTTGGATTTACCTTATGCGTCCTCGAGCTGAAGTGCCTAAACTTGTGCAACAGTTCCATGAACACATACTCAGTTTAATACCCGCGTCAAAATATTCCGGTTAGACAATGCTAAGGAATATTTTGATAATGACCTTACCTCCTACCTTGAGAAGTTTGGGGTTATTCATCGGAGTTCTTATGTCTGCACTCCACAACAAAATGGAGTAGCGGAGAGGAAAAACAGACACATTATGGAAGTTGCAAGGAGCACTCTTTTTGCTACCCATGTTCCTGTGAAGTTTTGGGGTGATACAGTTTTAACAACTACCTACCTTATTAACCACATGCCTTCTTGAGTCTTGGGACTAAAATCTCCCTTTGGAGTCCTCTTTCCTGATGTTGAGATTTTCTCTATTTCCTTTGAGGGTCTTTGGTTGCACTTGTTATGTCCACATTCCCAGTTCCAAAAGACACAAGTTTGGAAGAAAGATGATAAGGTCAAACAAGGGATTGTGAGGGAGAGTATGTTCTGGGCAGTTTTGTAAGAAAGATTACTGGGGGGCTCAACACCTACTTAGGGGTTGACAACTGTACTTAAATCTGGAAAGCTATTTTTAAGTTATATTAATGAAGTTACCGTTTCCAGTAAAAGAAAGTGTAGTGAGAATGGGCTGAATGGGCCCTAGTGTTCTTTATTTCTTTTAAGTAGTGTTTAAAAGTTATGGGCCTTATGGGCCTTTTTTTTTATTTTCTTTAATTATTTCTTTAGTGCTGGCCACCCCATTAAGGGCATCCAAGTAATTGTACTCAGACTTAGAATTATTAATAAAAGTGATGAAAGGGGGCTAGAGAGAGAGGTTTGAATTCTTCTTTTCTCTCTTCCCTTCTTTTATTCTTCCACAACCTATTGCTGAAACTTCTTTTCTTTTTCTTTTTCTTTTTCTTTCTCTCTCTCTTTTCTTCTTTTCTTGCATTATCTGAATTACTGTCGGTGTAATTTTCAATTGAGTAATAAGGATGAATTTGTCATGTGTTCAGAAGCTCTTGAATCAATAACCCAAATGTTTGATGAAGAGGACTGAATAACACTAAGGGCAGATATTATACCTGTTTTTGTAAATGAGGAGAAGCAATGGGTGATTGTTTTAACCGAGCCATAGCTCGGTTGAGGATATCTACTTCTTTGGTTGTAAATTTTGGAAAGCTATTTGGTGAAGTGGAGGTTTGTTCCACATTGGAAGAGCTGGTACTGTTACCCTTAGAAACACCATTTGCAACATTTGGGCTGGCTACATAACCTGAACTGTAGTTGGGACCCTTGTTTGGCTTCTTTGTCCTTCCTCAAAGTCGCTGGTTTCAATTGTGGATGAAGAATCCAACAAGTATCCTTAGTATGCCTCTCTCCCCCACAATGAGAACACTTCAAGTTCTTCTTATCCACCCCCTTTCCACCCTTAGAGCTGCTGAAAACAAGAACAGACTGCTCACTAGGCTGAAGAGGAACATGAATTCCTATTTCTTTCCTCCTCACCTCCTCATTCCTAATTAGATAAAACACATGATGCAGATTTGGAAGTTCATTTCTCCCTAATATTTGTGCTCTAATATTTTCATACGAGTGGTCTAAACCAGCAAGAAACTTGAAAGTTCTTCCTTAAATTTGCCTGTCATGCCTTTCTTTGTCTTTGGTGCTGTCCCACTCAAGGATTAAATGGTGATCAAGTTTTTCCTACAAACCTTCTAGTGTAGTAAAATAAGTTGCAACAATCATGTTTCCTTGAGTCAAACTAGAAATATCTTGATTCAGCCTGTACATTCTTGCTATGTTCTGCTTTTGACCATAAGTGTTATACAGTTTTTCCCAAATCTTATGGGTTGTGGTATAGTGCTGAATAGTCCTCGCAATTTTAGGAGTCATTGAGGTTAGCAATCATGACATTACAGTTACATTTTCCCTACACCAATTTC